CAAACAAATAAAGAAGTTGATCTTAACAGGTAGCTTTGATAGAAGTGATTAAGACTTTTGTCAAACAGTAAAAAGCCAAATGATTAAACATACACATTCTGTTATCTTCCTCCAAGCCAAATCTGTTTATACAAAAGTTAAGAGAATGTCATAGGAAGTCGATTTGTTAGCTGCAGCTTCATGTGTCAAACTCACATCTATCTCCATTTATGCTGGAAGCAAAGCATTCCAAAAAAACTTTTTTCAGCTACCTGGCAGCTCCTTAAAATGAACACCCCATCCATGGTAAGTGGCATCTACCAATATGACCAACATGCTCATATAAGTGTTATGTATATGTATAGCAAGCTGGATAAATAAATGATCTGGATTTGGGTGTCAGAAGTGGACTGGCTAAGTTCGCAGATGACACCAAATTATGGTGAAGTGTGGTCACACTAGAGAATAGGCTGGGAATTCAGGATGACCTGTACAGGCTCGCAAGGTGGGCAGATCAAAACCTGACGACATCCAACACAGGGAAATTCAAGGTGCTCCACCTCGGGAGACAATACCCACATCATACTTATAGGTTCACTAGCACCATGACCGAAAGAGACTTGGGGGTCACGACTGACCACAAAATGAACATGAGCTACCAATGAGATCCTGCAGTTGGCAAAGCAAATAAAACTGGCTTGCATCTACTGATATATTTCATGCAAAATCCAAGAAGTCATCCTCCTGCTTTACTCAACTTTGGTAAGGCTACAGCTGGAGTACTACATCCATTTCTGGGTTCCGCACTTTAGAAAGGATGTGGAGAAGCTTTCAAGAGTCCAAAGGAGAGCCACACACATATTAGAGGTCAAGAGAACAGGCGTTATGAGAGGCTGAGAGGCATGGGACTCTTCAGCCTGGAGAAACAAAGGCTCAGGGGTGACTTGGTGGCAGCCTATAAGTATATAAGGGGTGCGCATCAGGAACTGGGAGAACATCTGTTCACCAGGGCATGCCAAGGGAAGACAAGGTCTAATGGTCCCAAACTGTTGGAAGACGGTTTTAGACAGGACATAAGAAAAAATGTCTTTACTGTCTGAGTCTCCAGAGTCTAAAATAGACTCCCCCTCCCCGAAGTGGTGCAAGCACCTACTCTGAATACCTTTGAGAAACACTTGGATCCTTATCTTGTTGGGGCGATCTGATCCCAGCTGACTTCCTACCCCTTGGGCAGGGGGCTGGACCCGATGATCTCATGAGGTCCCTTCCAGCCCTGCTGTCTATGAAATAACAGTTTGTTTTTAAATAAACCATCCAACATACGAACACACTTGGATATAAAGACATTACAATAAAGACAAATGTTGCAAGAGGAACTCTTACTTGAGATGAGCTTATCAGAGATGTAACTGGCCAGTACCATGCCTTTGCAAGTCCCCTGTACCTCCTTCCCTAAATACTTTGCCCCTTCCCTGCAATGGTTGCAGCTCTGGCAGGTAGCAGGGACAGCAGTGGTGATGACAATGTGCAGCGCTGGCAGCTACTGGAGCTTTTTTGCTCCTAGAGGGAGCCATCGCCTCTTTTTGTTCCTTTTATTTTTTTTGCCACTGACATGTGTCATGCAGTCAAAAAAAAAAAAAGTCAATTTTTGGCAGCAAAAAGATGACATCCTCTCAGCAACAGAGGTTATATTTCCCAGGATGCTCCTCCCTCCCTCTCTCTCCTGTGTTGCTGCTGCTGCACTGCTTTCCCCTGATGTTGGCCAGAGCTGCTGCAACAAGGTCTATAGTGCTGGGGAGGTAAGAACAGGAGGTTGAGGTGGCCCCTCACCTCCCTTCTGTTCCTTCTGTGCCTTTATGCAGTGCACAGCACCGTGCCCAATGTGCCAACCCACCTTTGTACTACTGGAGTTTATCAAGCAAGTGACTGGACCTGAACTGGATATTGGCTAAAATTAGAACCTGAGGTCAAGGGTTGGATATCTAGGCTTGAATTTTATAATGATGAGATTTTGTATACCTTTTGTGAAATGTTAGTTGCATCAAAACTAGAACCTGGTTTCAGATCTAACTCAGGAACTATAACCATAGGTAGGGACAAGTTCAGACCCAATGGGTTCAAACTGAAATTCCTGTCTCTGAAATTTGAAAGGGTGCATATATCAGAGCTCCTTGCTTAAGTGTTTTGCACATTTTGAGCTTCAAACATGGTTTCAGTTTAACCTTTTGCCAACTCTCAAATGAAATTCTTTCTGAAGGCTTGAATATTTCCAAGTCTCTCTCCCAGGACCCAAAACATATTTCCATCACAAAGTCTGCAGAACAGGGAACTTTTTCCTCTGGAAGTGGAAAAGTAGCCATGTTATCAGACAATCCCTTTCTCCTGACTGCAAAAAAAGAATTTCCAGGGGTCAAAATAGTGACCCATTTCCATTCACTTAATGCAACAGATAGGAGCCAAGAGGATCCTTCTACTTGGACCTAATACACAGCATTAGGTAGATTCTGAAACATGTCTGCCACTTGGCCAGTAAGAGGTATCACGTCAAAGACATGATCAAAATAATAGAAATGACCACTTTACTGGCAGGGCAGTCAAAACTTTCATTTTGGTATCAGTTTCTAGCCAATTGGTAATTCATCAATCCCATTTTTGATAGCATACAATTCTTAACCAATGGAGCCATGACAATGGCTCAGATGGCTAAAAACCAAATCATGCTTGCTTTAAGTTACTGAGTTAGTAACTATAAATTGTCATAGCTTCATTGAAGTCTCATAGTATAAAACAAGAAAAGCCAGCAGGATATGACATAATTATACTGGCACCAAGATCCAGATGGGTAGTTAGAAAAATGCTTTCACAGACAAATGGATAGTCTTACATAATTACATATAAATCACATATGTTCTTAAATTTGAAGAATGGTGGTGAACGCTGCCTATTTACCTCTGCACACATACTCCAAACCCAGAAATACAGTGGTGAAAATAATCTGGTTGTACAAAAGCTGCTTTAGCAAAATGCTTAACATAACCAATGCCATTTTGTATCTTGATAGAATTAACTGAATGCAAAAGCAAATAAGTCATAGTGGGCATGTGTACCTATTCATTTGATCTGAGATCACTTTACTTGCGAGTAAACACTCCTGGTCAGGCATTTACACATTACACATACATTCCAAGCAGCAGATTGCTCCTGCTTCCTGTGGCCCTGTCGCCACCAGGGAGAGCTCGAGGCTCTCCCTGAGTATTAGCCCAGAGGCTGGCAGGGAGCAGGGGGCCAAGAGACAGCCATCTCCTGGCCAGGGTTGGGACATTGCTTCTGTCCCCATCCCAGAAGAAGGGAACCAGCTCCCTGACTGGAGCAGGGGACTTGGAAATAGTTGCAGGAGAGGGGAAGGTCCCAGCCAACTGCCCCATCCACCAGTGAGACAGCTAGCCATGAGGTCCTGGCTGGGTGGGGATTCCCTGCCCAGCTGGGGGCTTACTACTAGCTGCCCGACCAGCAGACGGGGTAGTGGGTTGGGACCTACCCCAACCCTAGAGCTCTTTCTGAGCCCCATGCCTTGATTGCCCAACCAGAATAGTTCCCAGCTCCTGCTCTGTAATTGCAGGGTGGGGGCTGGAGCGTCCATTCTCTTCCTAGTTCCACAAGCACAGAGCTGGGTGGGGAACAGGCTGGGGAGCTTGTTCTGCTCCCAGCTCCGTGATCATGGACCTGGGCAGGGAACAGGATCCGCATCCTCCACCAGCAGGAAGCTCCCAGTGCCAGCTCCACAATCACGGGGCCGGCACTGGAACATCCTTATTTCCCAGTGCCAGCCTCACTGTTGTGGGGCTGATGCCGGGAGATCCTCATCTCCCAGCACTGGCCCTTCTGTTGCAAAGCTGGCACTGGGAGATAAGGATCTCCCAACCTCCTGCTCCATGATCATTAGTGAAGCATGCGCTCCCTGATTGTTATCTAAGAGCAGAGGGCTTGGAGCTCCCTGCTGTTGGGACAGTGGCGAAGCCCAGGCAGGGAATATGTCCTCCTGCCTTGGTAGCAGGCAGCTGCCAGGGCACAAAGCAATCTCCTGCCCCCTGGTGGCTCGCTGACCAGGAATAGATTTGCTCATGGTCAGGCATCTACATGAGCGCTACTGCACAGTAACTACTAGTGAGTAAATTTGCTACTTGCATTTGTAGGTAGCAAATTTACTCACAATTAGTGAGATTTATACACATGCACACACACACATATTGCTAAGCACAACTGCTGCAAACTGAACAGCTAAAAGTCATTTGATTACATATAAAGAAAGCACATGAGCAGAAAAGGCTGACAGGGCAAATGGTAAAAAGAAATTGTAACTGCAGCTGTCAACGCTAAGCCAGGAAACTTCATGGAATAACTAAGTTTACACAGGACCACTATATAAGAACTGTAAAAGGACTTAAAGCTGGGGGAGATAACAATACACAGGGCAAGCAGCAACAGGTACTTGAACCCTGGTGGTGTGAGGAACGTCTGGCCAGCTGAACCCACTGTATCTACTGGAAGGCTTATATAAGAATATCTGTATTGATTGTTAGGACTTGTCTAAAAGTGAAGTGTTGCATTTAAATCCTTGCTTAAAGACTGGTTTTGCTTATGTGTTCACTAAATCAGGATTTCAAACCAGAATAGTCTGACTGATCTTTTTTTTCTATTCACTTACTCTTAACTAAATTTAGCACACATTGTGTCAACCTGTGGCCACTTTCAAGATCTTGATCTCTGGCAAGCTTGTGGGAAGCCACTAAGAGTGGACCCCAAATGACCTTCAATGTCCTGTTTCCAGATTTGGGGTGTGTGGCATGTGTGCAAGGGCAGACCATGTCAACAGCTGTCCTAGCTGGGCATACCCAGCTAGGACGCAGTGCCAGCCTGTTGTAGATATAACCTAAACACCTCCCCTTGTAAAGTAAGATGTATTTGTAGAATATTTATAAAGCTTGGAGAAGTTTTTCTTCAATTTCCACATAATACTGTACCTGTATGACTCCGAATATGAACTCTCAGTGTTCCGTTGCTTGCAAACTTCTGACCACAGTAAGGGCAGATTTTCTCTTTTTCTCCAGTATGGGTCTATATAGGGTTGCGGATAAGGAAAAGACAAGGATGAAAATTTTAGAATACCTTCTAAGGATTACAGTCCATGGCAAACTGAATATATTGGATATCAAGCATTTTTCTTTACTTCTGTGTTCTAATATTTCCTCTCTTCCAGGTTTATATGTCCCCTTAACAGCCATTACATGTTTAATTCGGTCACATCAGAGACAATCATCAATGTTCTTTTAGTCCAGCAAACTTCTGTTTCCAAACAAATCTCATTATTAATTGTAAAATAAACCTACTTGTCAAACCCAATTACAGTTCACTGGCTTTATAATTCCTAAGGTACTCTGGCTTATAAAAGTTCAATTAAACTTTAATGTGCTCTTGCAAACCCAGGACAGAAAAAGTAATCACCTATTTTTCTGTATCAAAGAACATTTCCATGATAGCATTTTTCAAACTAGCAAACAGTGACTTGGATACTTCATGATAACATCAACCACAACTGTATTCCTTAAAAGCTTGTATTTAGGGCAAATCTAAATTTATTACTAAACAGAATTTGGCCAGCAGATAATTTTTCCTCCAACAAAACAGAGCTGAAGTTGTTTGATATATCATTATGATGCAAGTAATATCTAGTTCTAACTAGTTTATAAAAACAAGATCTAGTTGTCACAATTTTAGAGGTGTCATGGCCAGCTCTGCTCCCTGGGTTCTAGTTCTGGCTCCAGTACCAGGGAGAGAAGATCAGCAGTGGTGGCATAAAGTGCAGGAGGCAGGAGTGGTAGTGGGAGGTTTGCTGCTATGGGACATGTTAGCTCTTTTTTTTGCTGCCACGTATGTCAAGTGGCCATTTAAACACCGATTTTAAGCAGCAAAAGAAGAGAGAAAGAGGCAGGAAGTGACCTGCTTCTCCTGCACTACACACCACTCCTGTTCTGCCCTCCCTACTGCCAGACCTGATGCAGGGAAGGTAAATGGCAGAGGGGAGAATCTGTGAACTGGAGGGTGGTCTGCCCCACTAGATTTATTCTGAAGTCCACTATTAGGCACTGTCTGGAGCTCATGCCCTGCTTGACCGCCCTTACTGTATAATATAGACAACTGTAATGGCCAGTTTTTCAATACCCAAGACTCTCACTGTCTTTAATGCATAAGGACTGTAAGACTGAGTTCTGTATATCTAATGCATAGAACAAGACTTTTATTGGAATTTCTGAATATATATTTTATTCATATCATGTTTTATATGAACCTACCCAAGCATATTCTAGACTATGCCTATAATAGCTGTCAGGTTTGGGAGACAAAGCCTGTTGCAAGGTAAGAATGTATTTCATAAAAGCCAATAATGTTCTTACAAACAGCTGGAAGCATACATTGAAATAAGGAACCATTATTTTTATATGTGGCTTCATTTTCAAGCCCAGTCCAGGATGTTGAAAACTGTTTAAGACTGTTTTTGAAGTATTTCTGGTTTTATCCAAACTAAAGCTGGAGATCTTGCAAAAAATATCCAACCACAAGACTTTCAGAAATTACAAGAAGTCAGGATAACCACCCAACGTTTATATGCTTGGCAGCAATATTTTTGCAGACAGCCCATCGCTATTTATTAGGACTGGTTAAAGGGGAAAAAAAGCCATACAGATTGTATCCTAGGTCTCAAACACTCAAATTTTTAAATTGCTCTCTGATCTGGTTTAAGAACAGCAAGTTCTTTCCAAAAATAGTTGCCACATTACAGCAAAAATATTCCATCACAATTTTAAAAAATAATTTAGCTGTTCTACTTTTGGTCATTCAAAACTTAAATTATGTTAAATTAAGTATATCAGAAATCTGAGCTAAGAAATACAGATTCCCAAGCACATGCAAGATTGGCAAAACATTTATTTGGAAGGATAATTTTTTATTGTTTTGCATTTGTGTTTTCACAGAAGAGGTGGAGGCACTGAGATGCTCTCCTGGGAACTGGAATATGTGGACTTGAATCCTCTCCTAGACTCCTTCCTACACAAATGAATGCCTTAACTACTAGGTTAGGAAGTCATGTTCCCTCTCGGTTCTTCTGTAAACAGACTCATTGGCTCTCTGAGTCTTTCCTGCCCATTAAGCCAGCTTCAGCAAAAGAGATGAGCAGGTACCTCTTCCCACAGCCTTCTGGTTAGGGTGCATTCCTCGGAAGTGGCAAACATGCCTCGAGTCACTTCAGACAGAGGAGAGCTTAGAAACTGGGTTTCTGACTTCCTGGCCAACAAAGAGACAACCACCACTACTGCCAGATTGCCCTTCACTACAAAGGAAGCCTAGGCACCTAACTTCTCAATTTCAATAACCAGAATGGGATGAGATGCTTGAAATTTACATGCTGCAATGCCTTATTGGAGCCATCCTAGAGATCAATTAGGATCTGGCCCTTAGCGAACATATAAGTGGTGATAAAGCTTCCCTTATTGAATGAAATGGTATGCATCCTTAAAGGAGGATCCGACAGTGGCCATGTACAGATGTTCCGTTCATGCAGAAAGCAGGTGAAAGACTAGAGGTCTCCCAGAGCCCCAGGGGAATGACCCCTCATCTATCCCACCAATCAGTAGATTGCCAGGACAGGTTGGGGAACCATTCTCCTGGAACATAGAGTAAATGTTTTACTTTACTCTGTGGAAAAGTAAAGCATCAGCTGGTGAATGGCTGAAGAATGCAGACAGATAAAAGACCAAAACAAGAAGAATCTGCCCCAGAACAGCGAGAGAACAATGGCAATCAACCTGCAAGGAAGAACACAGCCATAACACAGCAAAAACCCAAAGGACTGGAAGAACTGACAAAGCTATAAAAGATGGGGTGAGACGTATCAATTTTGGGTCTTGTTCTGTATGTCATCCTGAAGCATCAGTTCGTCATCCGGAAGCATCAGTTCATCTGATGAGATGGACTAGCAGGAGCCCAGCTCCTACTCATGATCAACTTGGCTGGCCACTAGGTTGATCCAAGTACTGATAAGCAGGGACCTGGGTTTTCCGTTTCCCAGGGAAAAACAGGAGCTAGCCCCACCCCCATCCCAGCAGGCAGCAGCAGTGGGAGAGCCGGCTCCATGCTGCTTCTGCTGCAGCTACCCTGGCAGCTGAGGGCCCCCTCTGTGGGCTGTGAGTGGAGAGCAAGAGGCATGAGTAGGGTGGGGGACTGTTGTGGGGGCAGTGAGGGGCACCAGCACTATTGGGGGGACTTTGGGGGAGTGAGAGGCACCAGCAGGGCTGGGGGGGGGCTTTGGGGGCAGTGAAAGGCACCAGCAGGGCTGGGGGTGCTGCAGGGGGCTTTTAATTTTAATAACAGATTGGGGGGGGTTATCAGAAAATTTGTGACTTTCTATCAGAGAAAACCAGGATCGCTGCTGATAAGACTGGTAATGTATACAAGCACAGAACAGAAATTGGAGTATGAATGTGTGTGTGTGTGTGTGTGTGTGTGTGTTAGTTAAATGCTTAATCAATAAACAAGGCATCTTGACTTATCCTCCCTCATAAGGTCTTGCTCGTGATTTGAGCAATTGGTGTAGAAGTGGGAGGGCAGATCAAGGCCCCCACAGTGAGGGAGGAGTTGGGCTGGGGCAAATGCTGCCCAGCCAGGGTGGGTCAGGTGCGGGACAGAGCTGTGGCTCATCCAGGGGGCACAGGGAGGAGGTGGGGGGCGGCTCCTGCCACTTCTTGCTGCTCATCTGGGAGCCGCTGTACTGGTACTTGCCTGCTCATCTAGTGCTTGCCAGCTACCGCCATTTGTCCAGGAGGGCTTGTAGGGGGTGTATGCCCCCAGATCTGTACAGGGAAGGATAGGCGGTCCAGGAAGGGTCTGCCCCGTGCAGATCCAGGGGCAGCCCTGCCCCCCATGCTCTCCCAGATAAGCGGCAGGAGCCGCTGGATGAGTGGGCAAGTGCCAAACCAGTAGGTCCTGAATGAGCAGCTCACAGCAGCAGGATCCGCACCCCACCATATCCTCCTGACAAGCCACAGCTTCACCCCATCCATGCTCACCCCACCCCAGGTGGGCAGCGCTTGCTCCAGCCCCAGCCCCACTCCTCCCTCACTGCAGGGACCTTTCTTTATCTGCCCCTCCCATGCCCCTTCCCTCCCCTCGCCTCTTTCACCACACCAGACTTACCAGCTGCATGCAGCTCTTCAAGCTGCCGGGCTCGTATTGGAAATCAGATTGGTATCGGCTGATATGCCACCTTAAAACGCAGCTATTGGTATTGGCTTCAAAAATCTCTATTGATGTATCCCTAAAATCTGGGGCCCCCTTGCATTCTGCCCCCACAACTTGTTCTCCCTACAGCTCCTCCCTACCCTTTACTGTCCAACCGTGCCCTCCCTGAGCACATGGAAGTAAGAGGCAAATTTGAAAACACTGGCCTTAAAATAAACATACCTAGAGCAACTTGCTTCACAGGTAGCCATAGACTTAGTTCATCCAGAACTGATGTATTTTACCTTTTTTGAACCTACTGCAAGTTTTAGTACAGGTATTCCATAGACATACTTTTAAGCAGCACTGTTATACCTACCACATATAGCATAAACTATTCATGATATTAGTCCAAAGCCAAAAGGCTCATGGATTTATCATACTTTTGGGCTAGGCCTCAACAGAGTCACCAGTATTTCAAGCCATGGTAACCCCATAGCTCAGCACTGGTCAGTAGGTTTGTATACTCCAGATACCTCCCACCAAAGGAACCATGTGCTAATTAGCCCCCAGTCATGACTGGAACCAGGTGTCCTTGTCACAAGTCCTAGGAGCCTCCAAAAAATTTATATTCTGATGCAGCACATGGCAACCTGGACAGGGTCCACCTCACAGAGCTGGGGGGCATACTAATCATGTGCGAAAGGCTAAGAGAGGAAGTGACTCTTTGATTCTGGATGAACTATTTGGGTCCCATTTGGAAACGTCTGCCAGATATCTAAGGCTGGTGAAGAAACAGAAGTTACTGAAAGTGGGAAAGAAAGGCACAGCTCAATTGTGCG